GGAACCACACAGGCCGGCCCACGGAACCACACAGGCCAGGCCAGCGGCCTCGAGCGGACGACTCTGAGGTCAGGGCAGCTCGGAGGGAGAACAGAGCCCCGGCGCTGAAGGGAAGTGAGAGACCACAGGCAAGTCTCGGGGAGCCGTGGAGGACAAGGCCACGTGAAGAATCGAAGGAAGGGGCACAGCTGTGATACTCTGGCTTTTCCTGAGGGCATCAGGCCGCAGGTGGGGGCCTCCTGGGTGGCCCTGCTGGGCAGAGCCCACAGGCGCCAAGCCCGTGGTGGGAGCAGACGCACGACCCGGAGCAACTCGCCGGGGTCAGAAAGTGGGGTGCAGACATTTCACACGGCACAGCCCCGGGGTTTCTGATTCCCAGCGCCCTTCACCCCAACAGAAAGGACGTACAGGAAAGGGGGAGGGAGGCGATGGGACCCGGCTGGAGGGGAGTCGGGCTCAAAGCCGGGAGGAGGAAGAAAGGGAACAGCGAAAACGCAACGGAGAAAGGGAACTAGGTCCAGATGTGCAGGAAGCAGGGAAACTAGTTTTCTGACAAAACCGCCGCAGCGCCCTCAGGCCTGGAGCAGAGCCGGTCCGTGGGAAGACGCTCTCACAGGGCAACGTCTGGGCACAGGGCAGGAAGGCCCACTTTTCTCCTTAAATCCAGCAGCCCTGGCCAGTGTGGCCCAGCGGTTAGAGCGCCAGGCCGCAGACCAGCGAGACTCGGGTTCGGATCCCGCTAAGGGCATGTACATCGGTTGCAGTTTGTCCCCGGCCCTGGTTGGGGTCGTGTGGGTGGCGACCAGTTGATGTGTCCCTTTCACGTCGATGTCTCTCTCTCTCTCTCTCTCTCTCTCTCTCTCTCTCTCTCTCTCTCTCTCTTCCTCCCTCTCCCCCTCCCGGTCTACCTGAAGATAAATGCAAAAATGTCCTCGGGTGAGGATAAAAAAATAAATAAGTAAATAAATCCAGCTTAGACATCAGGCGCGTGCACACGACCTTCCGTAGCTGTGGTCACCATGAGAAATTTCACCTCGTGCGTGTCGGAATACTTTTATAGCTTTTGAAAATGTCAGCCTTATGCATCCAATGCACATCATGTCATTCGGTGCTTTTCCCTTTTTATTCCGTTTTACTCTGACTACAGGGGAAGGAGGCACCGACCGGCTGAGACCACCTGCCCCTCAGCCTGCTGTCTGAGTTTACGCTGTCCCGTGGTCTCAGATAGTCTGGGATAAGCCAGCCCTTGAGTCCTTCTTTTCAGAAGAGAAAGCTATAAAGAAAGAATAAAAAGGTATTTCTTTTTTTTTTTTTAATCCTCACCCGTGGACATTTTTGCATTTATGTTCACATAGAGCGGGAGGGAGAGAGGGAGGAAGAGAGAGAGACACATCAACTGGCTGCCACCCGCACGACCCCAACCGGGGCCGGGGACAAACTGCAACCGAGGTACGTGCCCTTAGCGGGAACCGAACCCGGGTCTCTCTGGTCCATGGGCCGACGCTCTTACCACTTAGCAACACCAGCCAGGGCTAGAAAGTATTACGCCCTGTGTATTAGCTCATGCAAGTGTAACAATCGCATAAGGCAGCACCCCCGTGCTCACTGTTCAGAAGAAGAAATCGAGGCTCAGGTACATTAATGACTCGCCCACAGGGAAGAAAAGATACTACGGGGACAGGCTCACACTGGCGTCTGTGTGACCCGCCTGGGCCCTGACTCTGCCTCTGGAGTCCCAGAGCGAGGGGCCAGCCGCCGGCACGGGAGGGGGTCCGCCTGACAGCAGGTGGCAGGTGCCGCCGACCTCCAGGCTCTATCTCCAACCTCCCTCCCCTGCAATCAACCAGCACACCCAGTTCTCACACCAGGAGAGGCAAGTGCCTTCTACAAAGGAGACCGAAGAGATGCAAATCATCTGAAGTGACAGGTGAAACACCGTCACCGACGCACAGGGAACGTGAAAGGCTTCAGGACCATGACGCTCGGCGCAGTTCTCAGACATGGCCCGCGAGCCACAATTAGCGGGCCTTCCTGTCCACAGGGACGGGGCCGGGAGACCGGGGGAGATCTCGCCACCACGCCTGTGGCATGTTCTGGCTGCATGTTCTGGCGTGCACGCAAGACGAGCGGCACGAGCCGGGACTCAGCGAGGCCCTGCTGGCCCGCGTTGTGCAATAAGGAATTAGTCCTGCAGGGGCCTGGGAGGCCTCTTGGTGGGCATTTTCCTTTAAGAGGAAAGGGGTACATCTGAGAACATGGTGAGAGAGAAAGCCGAGAGGACGATACAAATGCTGTGTCTACCAACACTGGACAGGGGGCACTGTGCCCGGGCCCATGCCAACCCAGAGGCGCCCAATAAAGGAGGAAAGAGGAAGAAGTCACATCCAAGGGCGAGTGACTGGAACACCAAGGAGAACCTGGGCACACCTGCCAATGCCTCCCAGTAAAAAGGGACAGGGTTCATTCCAGGAGCAGGAACGGGGTTCATTCCCGGATCTAGAAAGACAGACAAACAGTATTACCTGATTTTCTTTCCTTGTGAGATCTTAGCAACACGCTCTCCCCTCGGGTGCTTCCGTCTCTGTGAGACTACACATTTGGAAAAATCGGTAAGGCTGAGGATTCTCATCCGAAATGCTGAGTAAACCACAATCCTTGTTTTACAGAACACCGAAGCCAAGAAAGGTGAATGAGTCATCCCCTGTAGGATTCGTGATCCATGAACCTGGTCTGTGTCCAAACCAAGAGGACAGATACTCCTATTCGACTTCGAAATGCCAAACCCCAGTGTTGACTTCCGGCGAATACACCCAACTGCCTCAGAAACCTTGAAAAGCATCCCCTGACCGCGCGCCCCACGGGATGGACCGAGATACAGGGGACGCCGTTGTCAACAGCCAAGGAGATGAAAGAAGAAGTTGTGTGTGTGTGTGTGTGTGTGTGTGTGAAAGCAGAGGGATTGTAGTAAAGAATAAATCAGTCTAAGGGACAGTAAGACCAAAGGGAATGTGGGACCACTGACTAGACTCCACAACGACCCAGTTATAAAGGGTATCACTGGGAAAGTTACACGTTTTAAAGCAGATGGAGTGTTTACAAACATGACTGTTGCAACATTAATCTCTTGACTGGTAACAGTATTGGGTTTAGGTGGAAGACTGCCCTTGTTGTTAGGAAGTCACAGTGACGATGGCCCCCAACAGGTCCCCCCAGAACGTGTGTGTATGTGTGTGTGTGTGTGTGTGTAGGTGAAAAACATTACCAATTCGTAATTCTAGATGAAATCCACTTGAATTACCATTGCAACGTGTGTGAAGGCTTAACATCTTGACAATAAATATCAGAAGAAGAAAAAAATCCCCTGTAATAAAAAATAAAACCAGAAGAAATGTTCTCGCATCATGGTGGTAGAAACGTGCAAAGGTAACCCAGGATGTCCTCTGAGGCTTGGGACGGCTCAGCAGCGCTCTTACAAGAGCTCCCGGCAGCGAGCAGGACACACCAAGGAAACGACAAGATGACCATTGTCCGGACGCTCCCGTGGCGTTTGTGAACCGGGAGACTTGCCCCAGAAAGATCAGCAGCAGGGACTTCTGCGGATCGGCCTTTCGGCGCTGTGACGGAGCCGCGGGCCGAGCTGCCCCCCACAGGGCGCACACTCTCCCCTGCGGACGTGCGCGTGCGTCCCTCTGCGCTGGGCAGGGCCGGCTCCAGCAAGTCCCAGCGTGGACCAGCACGATGTGTGCTCAGACGAGTGCGTGCCTCCCGGTGACTCTGTCAGCACCAGCTTCATTTGCACCGCCGGGCAAAGAAACGTTTAAAGACGACAATCCCACTGGTAAAGGAGGGAGAGAAAAGCCTGTTTTGTCCCCTTTACACCCTCAGGGGGAGAGAAAGGGGGACATTCACTGTGCTGGGGGTGGGCCACCAGCCCCCTCCTTCCTCCATGAGGGGATCTTTGTAAAACACACACACGCACACACGCACACATTCTCTCTCTCACACACACACATACATGCACACATTCACACATGCACACACTCACACAAGCACGCACTCGCACGCACACATGCACACACACACACATGCACAGAGTCAAGGTGCTTCTTCAAACCCAAGGTCCTTCTTCTAACTCAGAAAGGCCTACCACCATAATCTTTGCACACGTTGGCCTTTTATTCAGAGACTGTTTTATTTTTTGCATTTTTTAGCTTTCCTGAGTATAAGCAATACACAAAAAAACTGCATATTTAATGTATGCATACTGATGAATTTGGACATACGAATGTATACGCCTGTGGAGACATCACCACAACCTAGGTGCTAAACATTCATCACCTCCACAAATCTCCTTGTTTTCCTTGGTATTGTTTGGGTAAGGACTTAAGATGAGAGCTATAATTTTAATGTATTTTATTTTATTTTATTTTAAATATGATTTTATTGATTTTTTTTGAGAGAGAGAGGAGGGGAGAAATAGCGGTCAGCCGCCTCCTGCATGCCCCTCACCGGGTATAATCCCACATCAGGGGCTGTTTCAAAAGCCCAGCCGGTGTGGCCCAGTGGACGGAGCAGCGTCCCATGGACTGAGAGGTCCCGGTTTGATTCCCCATCAGGGCACATGCCCAGGGCTGCAGGCTCGATCTCCAGTAGGGGGCGTGCAAGAGGCAGCCAATCAATGTTTCTCTCTCTAAAAAAAAAAAAAAAAATCAACAAAATCATATAAAAATAATAAATAGTACTCGAAACCAGGTAATATAACCCTAAATTACCAAAACATTTCCCCTTTCCAATTCAAAATAGGAAAGTATATACAAATATTTGCAGCAGCGCAACTATCAGGGACTTTCTCCACCCTAAGAATATCAGTATATAGTGGACCCTAATTGGATAAGTCACCCAAGTGATAAACACTACAATCTAAGGCAGATAAGAGACTGCCTTTATTTCTTCCACAGAAGCGTGTGAAACATTCATCCAAATAAATGAGCTCCCTGAACATGTGGGATGACGACCCTCAGAACCGCAGAGAAGCAGAGAACGTCTTTGCTCCACACGCTTCGAAAGAGGCTACCGGGGATACTCTGCCTCTGGACTGGCTCTCTGGAGACCTGGCCGATGGCGATTCTGTCGTTAGATTTCGCATCAAGAGGAGCACATCCTCCATCCATACGGATCCCAGTGACAAGTGGCAAAAAGTTCAACCCACGAAGGACAAGCCTTTCAACCTCAGGTCTGCAGGCTCAGATCTGAACCGGCTGCAGATGCTAAAAGCAAAGCCCACGGCAAAGAGGTCAACGCGAGCAAGGCAAAGAACCTGCTTGTACTCCCGGCAGGTTCTGGTGGCACTGAGACCTCATCAGTGGCTAATCTTTGCTCGGAACCGGTCCCTAGGGCTAGCTGCTCACCCACAGTGTAATAAATCCACCCCAAAAAGAAGCAAATGAAAAAACATTAAAATTGTACCTGTCTGTTTTTGTGTGTCTAGGTAAAGGCAAGAGAAGAAACACAATTTTGATATTTGGCTATTGGTATTTAAATGAATAAAACTATAAACAAGGAAAGAAAACCAACTACACCATCCATTATTCCTTTAAGGCAAAAATAAACATTCAGTAAACCTATTCTTGATGTACTGCCTTCAGAAAAGTTTCCATCTTTGATTATCACTTCCCTTTCTCATTACCCATGATAGTAGCAGATTTGATTCCCTGTCATAAAATTATATTTCTATTATTTTACTTATTTGTTTGACTATCGCATTCAAGAAAAGCATGGAATCACTTGGAGACTTTGACCTGGAAGTTCTGGAAGTTTATCACTGTGCGGAATTGTTTACAGGGGTCAAACGAGCTGTCTTGTGTTGAAGAATGAAGCTCAAGGGCCCCTAGAGAGTCCAGGAGCCACGGCCCTGGCGCCCCCCCGTCCCCGGGGGCTGAGGCTCTGCGGTTCATCCGGCCGGCCCGGGAGCAGGAGGCAGCAGCAGCGCCAGGCCCGGCTCCAGAGCATGGCAGACGGAGACAGACCCTGGCACCTGTGTCGGGCGGCCTCAGTGCACTGTGATGATGATGAGGAGGAGGGGGGCAGGACGTGGGGACGTGGATGGCGGCAGTGAGTCAGCTGGTGGTGGAGAGGTCAAGGAGGAGACGTGGAGGCAATGGACAGGGTCTGGGCCAGTGGGGTCAGACAAGGCAGGGCGGCCTCAGGGAGAGTCCAGGCTGACCCAAGGCCCCTGCAATCCCTGCAGAACCAGCTGCACACCCTCAGGCACCTCCTCCGCTGCTGCCGGGACCTGGTCTCCAGGGTCCCTCCCCGGCCTGCGGTCTGCTCTTGGGTCCCCTGGGGGTGAGCCCACCTTCCTCTCTGGCCGTACCTTGCTGCCAGGTGTAGCCTCTTTCTAAATCTCAATAAAGACGGGACTGGTCCTCCCCGCACCCTGTCCGAAGAATGAAATCCAAAGGGTTCGGAGAGCTTGCCCCCTAATAACTTCATTTAAAATATTCTGAATATTTATATCTGAGTATCTGTGAAAGTAGGTCTATAGAGTTCATCAGATTCCTGCATAAGACTGCAGGAGCCCACAGCTATCAGTTATCAACATGCACACGTTGTAATGTTATAGTCATTAAATAATGTGTTGAATACGATCTTTGAAGGGTTTGTTTTTCATAAAATACAGTTTGAAACCTCTGAGCCAAAAGGTAATTAGCAGGGAGGCTATAAATGCATATTTTCTAATTGGCAATAGGAAGACCTCCCCCTCGCCACCCCCCACAGAAGAAAAAGGAGGAGGAAGAGGAAGAGGAGGAGGAGGAGGAGGAGGAGGAGGAGGAGAACAAGAACAAGAAGAACAAAAATAAGAAGAAAGAGGAAGGAGAAGAAAAAAGGAGAAGAAGAAGAAGAAGAAGAAACAGAATAAGAAAGGAGGAGGAGAAGGAGGAAGAAAGAAGAAGAAAAGAAGGAGGAGGAGGTGGAGGAGATGGAGGAGGAGGAGGAGAACAAGAATAAGAAGAAAGAAAGAAAGGAAGAAAGAAAAGAAAAGAAAAAAAGAAGAACAAGAACAAGAACAAGAAAAGAAAAGAAGAAAGAAAGAACGAGGAGGAAGAGAAGAAGGAGAAGGAGGAAGAGGAGGAGAAGGAGGAGGAGGGGGAGGAGGGGGAGGAGGAGGAGGGGGAGGGGGAGGAGGACTAGGCACTGGATCTAGCTTAGCGGGGCCCACTTGAGACTTCCTCCCCCTCCCTCCAGAGTCCTCCGGCACTGAGCCCGGGCCCTCTGTTCCCTTCAGGTGACTCACCTGATTCCTGCAGGTTCAGGAAGCTCTGCCCCCGTCCACAGATCTCACCTCCCTCAGACGTGAGTCACTGACATCAGCAAGCCAGCCCGTCCCTCCAGTTGTTCCTGAGCCCAGGGCTGCCCCAAGGGACGGCCTCAGGACGGCAGGGACGCCCCAGCTCCTCTGGCGGGGCAGAAAAATGCTTATTTTTCCTGCTTTCCCAGAAAACTCACAGCCCTGCCCGCCTTAGTCGCCAGGTGTGTTCCTAATGAGAGTCGAGGAGCCTGTTCCGACCTGAAGACGCCGCGCCGGGTGAATGGACAGCCAGCTACCGCGATGAAAGGTAAAGAGAAAGGCTCGTCTTGGCTCCCTGTCTCCGAAGGCGCGGTCCTCGGGGCGCCGCAGTGAGGACTGTGCTTCTAGGAGCTCAAAGCCGGGGTCCGGAGGAGGTCGGGCAGAAGCCCCCTCGCGGCACCGCCCTCGGGGCAGGGGCCATGCGTCCCGAGCTGGGCTCCGGGCAGGGTGCGCCTTCACCCCGGGAACCCTCCTGCTGGGCCAAAGCTTCTCACTGAGCAGAGGGCGCCGCTCCAGTCCCTGGGTCGTGTTCGAACCTGTTGGCAGAGACGCTGCCCGGCCACTCACGGCAGCTCCAGGGCAGCCGGGCGGCTCTACTCCAGCTCGGGGCTCTGGCTTCAGAGCCGGAAACCAGAGCGAGCGGGGTCTGGGCGCATCTCTGCACAGAGGGCTCGAGAAGCCGGGGCCTGGGCAGGACGGCTGCGACCTACAGGTGGCGGGAGGTCCTGCCGCGCTCTCAGGTTCAGCCCACTTGCAAGCGCCGTGTGGTGACAGGCTCACCAGGAGCTCCGTCCAGGACAGCGGTTCTCACCCTGCCTGAGGCCGCGACCCCTTCACACAGCTCCTTGTGCTGCGGGACCCGACCAGAGAATCATCCTCCTTGCTACTTCGTAACTGTGATACTGCTACTGTTCTGGCTTAGGCGAACCCTGTGAAAGGGGTGGCGGCCCCCAGGTTGAGAGCGGCGGTTACTGAGTCCAGCCCATGAGCACGGGGCACCTGTCTGGGTGCTCAGGTGCCCAGCAGGGCCTGGGAGGGAGCCGGGCCTGTGAGTTTTTTCACTTCCAATCCACCAGTGGGAGGCGGACAAACTCCCCGAGGTCAGGGAGGAGGTACACGTGCCCTCAGCCCTCCGCGAGCCTCGGAGGACGCTGGTCCCCACGCCCCAGAAACGCGGGCCAGGTCTGTGTGGTTACACAAGGGGCTGCAGGGGCGGCCGGGCTGCTGAGCACCAGCTACAATGTAGCCTCTGGGGAAGCAGCCATTAGTCGGAAATGTAACTACTTCGTGAGGGGGAGAGACTACCCTAGTCCCAGACCCTCGGCCGGGAGAGGGCCCGGGCCTTTCGGGGGTCTGGGCGGGGGGAGGGTGGGTGGACAGTGATGTCTGTACTGGGGTGATGGTGTCTGGAACCTTCGGAGTCCGCCTGCTTTCTCTCCTTCCTCCATACCTAAGGTGTTCGTTTCCTTTAAGAACAATATTTCTGCCCTGGCTGGTTTGGCTCAGCGGTTAGAGTGTCGGCCCACAGACCAGAGAGACCCGGATTCGGTTCCCGCTGAGGGCACGTACCTCGGTTGCAGTTTGTCGCCGGCCCCGGCTGGGGTCGTGTGGGTGGCAGCCACCCGATGCGTCTCTCTCACATCGATGTCTCTCTCTCTCTCTTTCTCCCTCTCCCCCTCCTGCTCTATCTGAAAATAAATGCAAAAATATCCTCGGGTGAGGATTTAAAAAAAAAAAAAAGAACAGTATTTCACGCTACACTATGAGAAGGTTCCACAGAGACTTCCGGAGGGGAGACAGAATGGCCACTGGTCTCTAAGGTATGCCTCTACACTAGGAAAACCCAGGACGCTCCCTCCAAGCCCCCAAAAAGACTGGTGGTGAAGGCAGGACAGGAGAGGGACTCGGGTGAGGCGTCCGGGAGCACCCCACAGTCCCCAGGGCAGACAGTGTGCACAGTCAGGGCACATGCTTGGTCTGGGGCAGAAAGCCCAAGACTCTCGGCAAAATGACCAGGCTCGTGTGCTGACTGAGCCACACGCGGTCAGTGTGCCCGGGGTAACCCACTCGGGCCCCACAAGCCGCCGCCTACCCTGGCAGCACAAGGACTCAGATGACAGGGTCATTCGAGGCTGGAGCCCAGCCCAGGAATGCTGGGGGACACGGGACACAGCCAAAGACGAGGAGGAGAACTGGTCCCTCCCATTTCTGTCGCCAGCCAGCTGCATGACGTGGATGGAATCCCGGCCACTTGGGGTTGCGGCTTCTCCACTGCAAGGGGGATCGTTGGATCCTGATACCAACGCAAGGGCCAGTCGCAGTGCCTGTGGCTGAGAACTTCTGAAGCAGAGGGGGGAGCAGAGGCAGCCATGGCCATGTGGTTAGAAACAAAGGCACTAAGCCCTGGCCGGTGTTTCTCAGTGGTTAGAGCGTCGGCCTGCGGTCCAGAGAGACCGGGTTCGGTTCCCGCTAAGGGCATGTACCTCGGTTGCAGTTTGTCCCCGGCCCTGGTTGGTCGTGCGGGTGGCAGCCACTCGATGTGTCCCTTTCACGTCGATGTTTTTCTCTCTCTCTCTCCCCCTCCCACTCTTTCTGAACAAAATACTGAAAAATGTCCTTGGGTGAGGATAAAAAAAACAAAACAAACAAAGGTGCTGAGTCACACGAGAGACATCAAGGACCTGCTGCAGGCCAGGGGTCACAGCCAGGCTCCCATCCGACCCGGCAGCGTTTCTACACGTCCTGCCTCCTTCTGTGGCAAACGTGGGCAGAGGACACTGTCTGTACTCCGGTCACACCTAACCAGCACGCTCGATCTTTCATGAACTCTTATTGGCCACACGTGGAAACAGGCGCGTCACAACGCATTGGAGGAAGAGCGCCGATCGCGTTTCCCTGGGTGGAAGACATCCCGCTGAGCCACCCATGCCAGTGAGCACGTCGCTCCCCCGCGCAGGCAATGTCTAACACTAATTCCCATCAACGGCTTGAACGACGTTTTCTAACGTGTCAGCACCGATGCGGCACAGGCTGCCGTTCCAGCCTTAATACTGAGCACCAGTCTCTCACGCTGATTGTTTAACAGCTGCCCGAGACTCCTGAGTATTTTAACATATGTCACTTTTTTCCAACACCCTCGCACCGTACACTGCCATCAGCCCCATTTCACAGCTGAGCCAACTGAGGCCTACGTGGTGCACGGAGATGAAGCAGAGCCCCGCCCTGGGCCGCGGGGGCCGACGCGAACCCCGCTCTTCAGAGCCCTGAGCAGCCTCGCCGTTTGCTAGCGGCAGCTCCTTCACGGGGCGGGGTAGCGGGTGAGATTATGCAGATCGGCCACTTGTCTGCCGCACGGGACCGCGGAGGGCGAGGGCTGACTCGGGCCCGGTGCCTGCAGCCAGCCTGGGACCCCTTCGCACGTCCCGTTCCCCAAAGGACGGGGCAGGGCACGGTCAGCACAGGGACACCCAGTCTGTGCGGCAGCAGGACAGCGGGGCACGCGGGCGACCTGGCCCGGGCTCGGCCCCTGGTGAGCTTGAGCCCGCTCCGGCGGACAGTGCATCCGGCGTTCATCTGCAACAGGCAGCTACTGCCCGGCCGGCATGGCTCAGGGGTTGAGCGTCGACCCTGCACCAGGAGGTCGCCGGTTCGATTCCTGGTCAGGGCCCAGGCCCAGGTTGTGGGCTGATCCCCAGTGGGGGGCGTGCAGGAGGCGGCCCATCGATGTGCTTTCTCATCGATGTGTCTATCGCTCTCTCCCTCTCCCTTCCTCTCTCTAAAATCAACAAAGAAAAAAAAATTGGCCAAAAAAAAAAGCAGTTACTAATTCGCACTGCCACAGAGGCAGCAACTCAATACTGACTCTCCAGCACCTGCCAGCCTCAGTAAAGGAGGTGCCAGCACTGAGCGAGGCGAAGCTGTGGTCATGCCCACCCATCCTCAGACAGACCTCACGACACACGTGCAGAGAAGAGGAACCTGCGGCCGGAGGGTCCGGTCACCTGCCCAGGAACCGACAGAGCTGCACTTATAACTGAAACGGACCGGGGAACTCGGGACCGTCCCGGCGGACACCCACGTCAGCCGGCCCTTGCTGAGCCCGCACCCTAACACTGCCGCTGGGCCCGACAGGCCAGAAACAGGCTCCCGGCCGCCGGAAGGTCTGCGTGGCCTGAACGCGCTCCTAGGCTGTGGGCTGAGGACGGAGTCGAGAGAAACCCTGTCGAGTCCGTGAGCCTGGAGGGCTCCGGGGGCTCCATGCAGCAGGGCCTGCTGCTTCCAAAGCAGAAGCCAGCGTGAAGAGAAGGCGGCAGGAAGGAAGGGATTCTCAGGCTCCTGCATTACAGAGGCGCTTGTCTAGTGGAAGGAAGGAAAGAGGGAGGGAGGGAGACCACCGGGGACGTTACACAGTCAGCTCTCTGCCGCCCGACCCTCAGGCTCCGCGTCCGTCCGGAGGAGAGATCCGGGAAATGATGCCTCCAGACCGCAGGGCCGGCCACACTCCTTCAGGGCAGGAGGAGCGGCCTGTCCAAACGCGCCCCTCCCGCGCCTGCCAGACTCCCACGATGCTGCAAATAAATCATCCGCGGGTTCTGAAAACAGCGTAGGTGATCTGGCTAAAGACGCGGGGGAGAAACTGCTACGTTAACTGCTTGCTGGATGCGCTGATAAACAGGACAGTCCTGCAGGGCGCGGCTGGGTCCGCGTGGCTACTCGGGGCTCACAGCCACACGCGACCCTGAAATAATCACAGGTGGCGCTGTTTTCTGGTCGTTTAAACACAGCATTTTAAAGACCTGAACAGGGAAAAGTTTAACTAAGATACAGTTTCAAAACCATCTACGTCGTACCCAGTACCCATGCGATACGTAGCCAAATGGATGAATAAAAGAATAGTGGATGCCATCAAAAAAGTAAACTTGTATCAGTGTATTAGCATATTGTGATCCCTGTTAAATAAATAGAACAGGAAGACACGTTAAGCATCAAAATCCCCTTTTCCTTTTACCCTAAAACATTCATTTTAATTTCTTGTTGCAAACAACAAAATATGCTTAAATAGATTGTGTGTGTGTGTGTGTGTGTGTGTGTATAATGGAATTATATACAGAATGAAAAAAGCATCTATAGGCACCAAGTACAATACTTCAAGTACTATCTCTTATTCTAAGGTCCAGAAATAATAACTATGAGATATCAGAGTACAGTTCATATGAAATTGAGGTCAGACAGACACTGAACAACTGGCCACTGAGGAAACCAGTCTGA